GGGCGAGAGCAATGCATATTCAAGGAAGGCTGAACCTTAGGGGATGTGGAAGGAAGGAGAAAAGTATCAAGACCTGAGGATAATGATGACATGCTGAAGAGACTCAGGATTGATCCCGAGGGTGGTATGTTTTATAGGTAGAAGCAGAGAGTGAAGATAATCAGATTAGCACCTCAGAAAGCTCCATTCATGCAAGAAATATATGTATTGAGCCCCTACTAAATTCGGGCAGCACAGTGGTGAGCAAGATAAAACCTCAGCCTTCCTTGAGTTTTATTAGAAAGGTAGAGACACACTAGGTACTGCAAAACTAATCATGTTCATGACGACTGTTACAGACACAGGAAGTATTAAGAATTCATTCATTCATTAATATTTATTATGTGTCTCTATGCCAGGTGCTGAGAATATAGCAGTGAACCACTCAGATAAGAATTCCTCCCCTCATAGGGATTACAGTCTAGTGGCAAAAAATGGGCAACAAACAAAACAAATCAAAGAAAATACACTGTACATCAGATGCTACGGTGAAGCATTAAGCAGAGAAGGGGGTAAGAATTTTGCTTCAGAGATGGGGCAGGGAATGTAATTTTAAACTGAGTGGTTAGGAAAAGCCTCACTCAACAGATTATGTTTGGGCAAAGACCTGAAGGAAATGATGGAGCAAACCATGTGGACCTCTCAGGCTAAATGTACCAAATAAGGGACTAACAAGGGCAAAGACCTTGAGGCAGGAGAGTGTCAGCAGGTCTGAGAAAAAGCAGGAAGACCAGTGGCTGGAGCAGAGGCTGCTGGAGATGCTCTCTCTCCCTCTCCCTCTGCCCCTCCCCCCACTCTCTAAAATAAATAAACAAATAAAAATCTTTGAAATAAACAAATGAATAAAAGGATCACTCTGACTGCTGTGATGAGAAAGGACAGCAGAGGGGCAAGGTCAAAAGCAAAGAGATCAGTTAGGAGGCAGCTACAGTAATCCAGGTGAGACGTGATGCTCATTTGAACCAGGGCATTAGCCACATCTAAGAAGTGCTCAGATCCTTAATGATTCTGAAGGTACAGTCAACAGGATTTGCTGAGAGATTGGACACACAATACAAGAGAGAGAGGATGTTTGACCCGACTAACTAGAAGACCGAAATGCTATTTACTCGGCGGAGAAGGCTGTAGGAGGAGCAGGACTGGACAGGAAGATCATGAGTTTCTGTCTAAGTGAAATGCCCACCAGATAATCACATGAAGATATCAGGTAGGTAGGACGTTCCACAAATAAATCTGGAGATGGAAATGGGAGTTATAGGGTCATGAGCACAGAAAGGGCATTTAAAGCCATGAGGTGATGGAATTGCTGGGGAGTGTAGACAGAAAAGGGAAGGGTCAAAGGACTACTCCTGAGCTCTGGGGCACTCAAACTTACAGTTGTCAAGAGGAAAAGGAACCAACAAAGGAGACTGGAAAAGAGTGCCAGTGAGGTGGGCAGAAAGCAGAAGTGTGGTACCCTGGAAATGAAAGGAAGCACGTCAAGGAGGAGGGAGAGTCAAATGCTGCAAAGTCAAGTCAAGTGGGCTCATCACCAACTCCTGTACTTACCAACATGGAGTTGGAAATGAAGCTCACCACCTTGACTGCTGCGACTGGGGGCGGGAATGTGGAATGGACTGAGGAAAGAAGAGTAAGACAGGTACTACAGACGAAGAGGATTAACTCTTTTGAGTTTTGGTGTAAAGCAGAACAGAGAAATGGGGTGGTAACTGAAAGAATATGTAGGACAATAGTTTTTTCTAAGAGAAAATATAGCATATTTATAGATGTATATAGGGGTATGTGTATCTATTCAGAATGTTCCAGAGAAAAGAAAAAACTGTTAACGCAGGAGGGACTGGGGATGGGGGGGAGGTTTGCTGGAACAATGTCTTTGAGTAGATGAGAAGGTTCAGGGTCTTGTGACAAATGGAGGGCTTGACCTTAGCTATGAGCACAGAGTGTTTATCCATGGTAACAGGAGAGAAGGCAACACTTAAAATAGACACAGGCAGTTAGGTGAGTAGACATTGTGATAGGAACATGTGAACATGTTCTATAAGAAAACAGAAGCAATCAGAAGAGATGGGCAACAAAGTCATCAGCTGAGGGTGAAGACAGGGGAGGAGGCATGTAGAGGTTCGAAGGGCAAGAAGATAAGAAACAGATGTTTGGGAGAGCGGAAGAATACGTGGACAAGGGAAGTGTAATAGACTAGCTGGGCAGCAGTTAAGGACTTGCCTAAGGTTAGTAAAGACAAATTCAAAATGAAACCAGTCAGCACGGTTGTATATATACTAGGAGGGCCTAAACTAATCTGGAGGTGGGGATATCAAAGAGGCCTTCCCTTGGAAGTGATGCTTGAGCTGAGCACTGAAGGATGCATATGAATTAACCAGGTGGTCCAAGGATTCCAGGCATAGAGTACAGTCTGTATGAAGGCTCCATGGATGGGAACATCAAGACAGACTTGAGGCCCTGAGAGACGGGTAACAGACAGCATGAGGAGCACAAGAAAGGAGGGAGAGGCACAGAAAGAAGCCAGAGAGAGAGGTAGGACCTTGGAGGCCATGCTAAAGGTATTGGTTTGGTCTTGAAAGAACAAGAAGTCATTGAAAGATGGGAGTGAGAGGTGATTATAGCTGCATCTTGAAAAGATCACTCTGCTGGGTAGAGTGGACAGAGGTCTAGGTGGGGGCAAGGAGTAAAGCAGAAGACAAGTTGGCCTAAATGCAGCAGTGCAGGCAAGTGACTGTGGTGGCATGGACTGGGGAGCCATCAGTGTTGATGGAGAAACGTGAGAGTCGAGAGATTTTTAGAAGATAAAATCAGTAGGACTCAAGTAATGGCTATGGGGGTGAGAAAAAGCGGCATGTCAAAGGTGATATCTAGGTTTCCCACTGGATGGATGATGGTTTGATTCACTGAGATGGGGAAGCCTGAAGGAGAAACAGCCTGCATGCAGGAAGAACACAAGATCTAGTTCTAGCATGCTCACCTTCCCATGGGAAAGCTTGAAGACTTGTGAAAACCCAAGGAAGAAACAACAGTGGCCTGAACTGGAGATGGTAGGAAGAGGAGCAGACAATTGGGAAAATATTAAGGACCTATGACCCACAGATCTGACTGACTGCCGGGATGTGAGCGGGAGAGGGCAAGGGACAAGATGACAGCCAGATTTCTTACTTGGCAGCTGGATAGGGGGCAAAGGAGGAGAAGCCAGTCTTTGAGCAAATGGACATACGTGTTCCCATCCATATTACACACTTTTCTCCCATTTTAGCATAACTGCCCACCTCTCCTCTGCTCTTCCTTCGTGGAAAATTTCTTTTAACACTCCCTTGGTTCTTTGTGAGCCTGCTATGTTTGCACTGTTCACCTTCTCATCTGACAGTGCTTCTCTTTGAAGTCCCAGGGAGTCAAGGGAGACATAGCCAGAGCATGTCCACTTGCCCTGTGCATACACAGGCATAATTCCCCCACCTTCCCCACTAGACCATAAGCTCCTCGGGAACAGGAGAGCTGTCTCACTCACTGTTGTATCCCAATACCTGGCATGACAGACGACTCCAAATAGATATTGACTGAATGAATACAAGAATGAATGCCTGCCTCTGGGAAGACTTCCCTGAATGTGACCTAGTTGTGTTCCCAAGAACAAAGACATTGGCATTACTAGGGAGATGACATCATAAGTGTTTTAAATGAATGTTTTGGATGTGAGGTTGTGCCTGCCCATTAGATTATAAATTGAGGAACTGTTTCCTTTGTAGTTTTGGATCCTTGACAAAAGTGAAGCAAAATTTTCCTTACTTTTTCCTTTCCCAAGTCTGTGGTGCCTAATTCCTACCCCACTTGCCCCACAAAAAACAACCCTCAAGAATTCACCCTTATTTCTCCCAAGCAGTCAAAACCTTAAAAATCTAATATCTATTCATAATAAAGTTATAAAGCATTCCTCAGGTTTAACACATGCAGATTGCTCCCCCTACAGAATGCCCCCAAAGGGGATGCATTTTGACAAAATACCATGTCGAAAGCAAAGGTGGTTTTAAGTGACAGCATTATTCATGAAATCACAAAGAGCAAAAGGGTAGAAAAAAACTCCTACTAAGGCCTGCCCGGTTTTTATTTCCTGCCCCCAAATCAACCACCCTGGGTGTTTTCTCTGGCACACAGAAAGAGGCGCGCGCACACACACACACTTTGTTAAAAAGAGACTGGTCTGGTCGCAAATCACTCCCCTCTCCCAAGAATCCAGGGAGTGACAATTTCTCCACCACCCAGCGCCACCCCCCCCCCACTCCCGCCACAAAGCTCACGCACCCTGCAGCGCGGCCAAGATCCCCACGATGCCCGTCCCTGCGCCTAGTTCGATCACTTTCTTGTCTCGGAAATCCACATTTTGACTTTCAAAATAGTTGCACAGGCTCAGAGCCTACGGGGGAAAAAGAGAGAAGAGAGAGAAAAAGACTGTCGCGGGGATGTTTCCATATGGAAGAGGGAGAGTCCGGGGTCCGGACCTCCCGGGGACGCTCGCCCAGAGCCGCCCACTCCTCACCGCGTCCCACACGCGCGCCGCCACCCCAAGGCGGGACCCGAAGTTCTGTGTGATGCTCAGCACGTGCCCACAGAAACAGAACCGGCTCTTCTCCGAGTAAGAGTCCGCGAAGAGCCCGACTTCCCGCGGGAACACGGATTCGAGCTCTGATTCACGATCTGGGCAGGGGTCCGCCATCTGGCTGAGAGCGCGCGCGGACCCCGCGGCTAGCGCTGGTATCCCGGATCTGGGACCGGTGGGGGTGGGGGGCCGCGGGTCGTCCCGGCTTCTCCGTGGCAGCGAGCCCCGCCTCTCCGAGTTTGCCCTCCTCCCTTCAGTTTGACTTCCTGGAGGTGGGATGAGGAGCCGCCCCTCCCGCTCCGGTCCCCAGCGCACACCGACGGCGCTCACGTCGGACCACGCGGGGCAGACAGGGCCGACAGGTCTGAGACCGGGGGAGAGGGGAGAGGAGTGAGGATTTTTCTGTAGGAAGCGCGGTCCTGGGACTCCTCTCACCTGCGGGATGCAGAGGTACCTGCAACTAGGGTAGTATCCCAGACCAAGGAGAAGCGGGCTAACGAAAGAGGCAGGGTGCCGGGTCTGGCCTTGCCAGTCCAGCTGGAGACCCGCGTCGCGAAGGCCCCCTACCGCTCCGGCTGCCGCCCACCCTCCCCGCCCAGATCCGCGGAGTACACTCTTGGGTCTTTAAGAGGCGGGATCTGCTCTCAACGCTCCTGATTGCGTCATTATCGTGCGCCTGGGCCTTGGTCTCCACGTGGGTTCAGTAGAGAAACCGGGGACTGGGGATCATGGCGGGAGCCGAGACTGGGGACGCGGCAGGAGCTGAGGCCCCGCAGCCCCAGAAGCGCTACTATCGGCAACGTGCTCACTCCAACCCCATGGCTGACCACACGCTGCGCTAGTGAGTGAGCAGGGCAGGGGGGGACGGGAGCAGGGGGAGGCAAAGGAGGGCAGAACGTTCGCAGCAGTCCGAAAGGGCTGTTGTTCTGGACGGTCTGCAGGGTCTCAGACGGACCGGGGAGGATCGGCTGGGTGACGTCAGCTTTAGAGGTGGGTCGGGGAGATTTAGGGGAGGGCGCAGTTGGAGGGTTGGGAGGGGGCGTGGCGTTCTGCCCGAAGTCTCGGTAGCGGCGCAAGTCCGGGAAGGGAGAGTAACTTAGACTGGTGTTGCGGGCAGTATGTCCTTTCCACCTTTCGGTTTCGTTGATCGGGTTTAATAAAAAGACAAACATACACACAAATCCCGCCCACGCCTTAGTCCATCCTCTTCGCACAGAGCACATAAACAGAGGCAGCCAATCTCTGGGGGAAGGGAACTTGTGACCCAGAAAGGAGAGCTGCCTGACCAGAGTCACATCGACTCCTAGAAGTGGAGATGGGCAGGTCAGCAATCATGAGCCTCATGATGGGCCTGTGATTCACACTTGCGGTTAAGGGTGGTTTCCACTGTGTCTCCTAGAGACCACAGGGCCCACTGTTACAGAATTTTTGAGAATCGCTCTTCCCATTTACCTCCCACCCTTACCCATCCGCCCACTCACACGCAGTACCACTTCCACAATGGCTTGACCAACCTTCTCATGTCCCTCATGTCTTCTCTCCAATAGCCCTGTGAAGCCTGAAGAGATGGACTGGTCTGAGCTATACCCAGAGTTCTTCGCTCCACTGACTCAAAATAAGAGCCACGATGACCCAAAGGATAAGAAAGAAAAGAGAGCTCAGGCCCAAGTGGAGTTTGCAGACATAGGCTGTGGCTATGGTGGCCTGTTAGGTAACACTCTGGCCTTTCCTCTAGGGCACAGAGAGGCAATGCCTAGGTTCTGCTACCTCAGCAGGTTTGCTGGGGGCCATTGTTGGCCTTTCCCCTTCGGACCAGACACCAGTGCTGTGACATCAGTGTGGAGAGCCTCCACTTTCTCTGTACTCTGAGTCTGTGGCCTTTGTCCTGGAGAAGGGAGGGTGTTGTCTCAAATGCCTCTTAGAACTTGGGTTGTCTTGTCTGGCCCCACGCCTGGCCTCAGTCTCTACTTGAGGCATTTCACCTGCAAGGTACCGGGTCAGTGAGCTGGTCAGCACGAGCGTCAGAGATTAGTCACTGTAGCCAGTGATCCTGAACTGTCTTTCTGAGGGATTCCACCACTCTCCCTCTCCTCCCCCCTCCTTCACCAAAACTCATTGTTTCTGCTCTACTCTCATGTTTTCAAATTCCTCTTGTATTGTCTGTATTGTCCCAATCCTGCGTGCCAGGCCACTTCTCTATTTTTAGATCTTCCCTTAGAGGTAACAGCATGACAGAGAGAGGAAAAACATGGTAGTTGGGGGTAGAAAAGCTTGGTTCAAGTTCCAGTTCTGCCTCTTCTTAGCTCTGTGACCTTGGCCGTTTCTGACCTCAGTATCCTCATCTTCTCGATTTACCACAGAGCGTTAGGAGGATTAACTGAGACGATGTGTGAAAACACTGAAAACTCGGAAGCACTTACAAATATACGTGTATCTGCAGGCCCTCCCACTTCCAGTCCAGGTGACAGTCTTTGGATCTAAGCCTAACCCTAAGCTTAACCCCCTTCTCCAGCATAGAACCAGCCATCTAGGTATCTCTCCGTCCACATTTGCCATTCCTGATTTTGGGAGTTGCACAGTGACACTTCCTTTCCTTTCTTGACCCCTTTGCACTTCCTGCAAGTATGAGGTTGACGATTCCATTCCTGTTTCTGTGTCCAGTGGAACTGTCACCGTTGTTCCCAGACACACTGATTCTGGGTCTGGAGATCCGGGTGAAAGTCTCAGACTATGTACAAGACCGGATTCGGGCCCTTCGAGCAGCTCCTGGAGGTGGCTTCCAGAACATCGCCTGTCTCCGTAGCAATGCCATGAAACACCTTCCTAACTTCTTCCGCAAGGGCCAGGTGGGGAGGGGCCCCGGTGGGTTAGGCTGGTAGGCACGTGGGGCACTGAAGCCGGGCTCTCAACCCTGTCGATGCATGTCTGTCTCACAGCTGACAAAGATGTTCTTCCTCTTCCCTGACCCACATTTCAAGCGGACGAAGCACAAGTGGCGAATCATCAGTCCCACGCTGCTGGCAGAATATGCCTACGTGCTTAGAGTTGGGGTGAGTCGGGAGTGAGAGGGAGAGGTGAGTGGCCCATTCGGAGGCCTTCCACTAAGAATTCAGTGGGGGTGCATTTAGGACTCACACCACCACTCCCATCATCCCCCTGCTCAACTGCATGCAGCCCCCCGTCTCGGGTGATTTTGCCTCTGCAGGGGCTGGTATACACCATAACTGATGTGCTGGAGCTACATGACTGGATGTGCACCCATTTTGAAAGGCACCCCCTGTTTGAGCGTGTGCCCCTGGAGGAACTGGTAAGTAGGGGGCCTGAGGGGAGTTGTGAAGATGGAGGCCTTTTCCAGAGTGGTTCTGTATTCTTTGAACCCAGCTCAGTGCCAGGAGGATGGGATGGGAGTCTCAGGGCCAGGGGCCATCTGAAAGGTGGGCAAGGACTTATCAGACCCTTCCTTTTCTCAGAGTGAAGACCCCATTGTGGGACATCTGGGCACCTCAACCGAGGAGGGCAAGAAAGTCTTACGCAACGGAGGCAAGAATTTCCCAGCCATCTTCCGAAGAATACAGGATCCCACCCTCCAGGCAGTGGCCCCCAATCCCACCCCCCTGGGCCACTGACGGCCTGCCTTGCCTTAGCTTGACCCCAGGACCTTCCCAGCTGAGACTGCTAGGGCCGAGAGGCGACAGTCTTTCAAAGAAGTTGGGGAACTGCCCAGGCCAGAAGCCTGGGATTCACAACTGACCTCTCATCTTCTTGCCCGTCTACCACCAGCAGAAAGCAAAAGAAGCTAACTGGGAAGGTCAAAAGATCTTGGACCAGAAGGGATGTTTGGAAGGGTGTGGGGTCTTGCTCTTCCTTAGCACTTCCTTCTCCTTCTGGGATCTCCTTCTCAGCTGGAGTGAGGAATACAATTCTCCACTCTCCATCTAAACTGCTTGCTAGACTCAAATCGCCTGTCCACTTGTGTTTACTTTGCAGTCCTGGGGATAACATGTATACGTGTGCACATGCCTGTGCTGCTCTTTCTCAGGAACGGCTAGAGCATGTATCACGTGCCTTCTCCCATCCCCCATCCTCTCCCTGCCTGAGACTTGACCTGAGGAATCTGCTGTCTTTATTGTTACTGTCTCTGGAGAGTCCTGGGTCGGGGTGGTGGAGACCCTCTCCTTTTTCATGTTGACCTTCGATTCCAGAACTTCAGAGCTAACTGACTGGCACAGAGCCCAGTGGGGGCAGGGTGGGGGAGTGAGGAGCAGAGAACTAAACTGTGCAAGATTCTGAGGCTAAAAGCAAAAATGGGCTGCTGACTAGAAATCCCCCCCCCCCCAAAGAGGACTGAGTCAGCTGGAGATTCAGAGTACTCACGTAGCCCTTACAACCATCCAAGAGCCCAGAGAAATCTCTGAACTTTTCTGATTTGCAAAAGGTTCCTTTGTTTCTGCTCCTGAAGCCCTAGGTTCCCATGGCTGGAAGGACAGGGTGTGTTGACCTAAGAGACCACTCTCTTCTTCCCAAGGAACAAAGATGAAGGCTCCTGGAGCCATTTTAACCCATTAACTCACCCACCATCTGCCCAGTGTCAGGTACAGGAAGGGGGGGAAGCTGTGGTAGTGCCAGAAAGTTCTGCTTACCTACGGCAAAGGCGCAGCCCCATAAGCCAAGAATATACAGCTACAGCTGTGCCTCTTCCCTTCCTGAAGGAGCTGAGGATGGGGAATTCCTGAGGATGGTCCCAAGAGGGCCTGGCTCCCTGAGGAAGTGGGAATACTAGGGACTGACTGTACCTCCGTATCCTAAACCTCACCAGAGAGACTTTCCAGGAAGAGATCTTTAGGCGGCTGGACTAGGGCACCAGCCCAGAAGGGGGAAACCAAGGCAGACCTCCCGTCCCAAGAGGGTCATTGCAACATGAGACCCAAGAGAGCTGCCAGGGAACCCCAGCCCCGCCTACTGTGCCTGGGTGCTAATCCCCAGCTGGACCACTCAGGAGAGGGGATTGGCTGAGGAGCTTGCAGAGGGGGCGTTGCCACTATCTCACCCAAAGGTTAAATAGGGGTTCAGGCAAGCAAGCGAGATGCCTGAGAGAAGTGCTCTCCTTTGCCGGTTCCCTGACCCAGACCATGACCCAGACCCTCAAGCTCGCCTCCAGAGTGTTCCATCGCATCCACTGTGCTCCCAAGCTAGGTGCCTCACTGGGCTCCAGAGGCTCCGACTCAGCGCCCCGGAGCTTGGCGGACATCCCAGGCCCCTCCACGCCAGGCTTCCTTGCTGAACTTTTCTGCAAGGGGGGTCTGTCACGGCTACACGAGCTGCAGGTAGAGGGGGACGTTCCTGGGAATGGAATGCTGGGGAAGGTGGCTTTGACAACACCAGAAAGGACAGACTAGTGCAGAAAGTAGGAGGAGGGCCAGTGAGAACAGATGCCCATGAATTAGAAAAGTTGGGACTGCGGGCGGTGGTTCGACCTGCGCGGGAGTCCATCCCCACACCCAGCAGAAGAGTGCCCTCAAAAAGCGCCTTCTCGCTGTGCGGAAGTCGGGGCCAGGTAGGTCCAGAAGAAGTGCGCGGGAGGCAGAAACGCACAGTACCTTCCCCTCGCGTCCGACTTAAAGCTACAGGCGCTCCTCTTCAGTTAACTGGGGGTTCGTTCTGAGATAGTCCACGTGAGGAGCCTTCAGGGATTTCTTCGCGTCGGCTCAGCCCAGGTGACCCAAGAGCGGTCCTGAATGTCTGCTTTGTGCGGAGTTCCTCCACTTTGCCCATCACTCAAACTTCCTAGGGATGGGAAGTGGGGGAAAGAAAAGGAGGAAGGGTTTGCAGCATCAGGGCTATAAACTAGCTGGGAGCCAGTGAAGAAACAAGCTCCCTCTTGCAAAGCCCAGCCAACACCCTTGACGGACCAAGCTGGAAGTCCTGGGCCCGGGGTCTCCAGTGTCCACTGTGCCCATTCTCCCAGGTGCAGGGCGTTTCGCGCTTCGGACCTGTGTGGTTGGCCAGCTTCGGGAGGGTGCGCACTGTGTACCTGGCGGCCCCTACACTCGTCGAGCAGCTCTTGCGACAGGAGGGGCCCCGGCCCGAGCGCTGCAGCTTCTCACCCTGGGCAGAGCACCGTCGCCACCGCCAGCAGGCTTGCGGGCTGCTCACCGCGTGAGTCCTCTCTGGCCCCAACACCCAAACGCCCAGCTGCGTCCCTCTCCTGTGGCTGGTCTGGAAACAGTCTGTCTCAGGGTGTGGAGGGGGGTTGGCCTTTTCCGCCAACCGTCTGATAAATTGGGCTTCCCACCCCAGCCTGTTTCGTTTAGGCTCAGGTAGAACCCCGCCTTTGTCCCCCACCCATCTCCCTGTCTTTGGAGTCCGCAATCCTGGAAATCCGCGGAAGGGGCGAAGGTACCAGGACCTAGATGGAATGTGAGATTCCGTGACTCAAGTTACCCAGGAACCCAGCCCCCCCCTCCCCCCCGCCCCGGGGCCAGGAAATGAGCAACGAGGAAGGGGGACGGAAAGCCGGCGCAGGCAGGAGCAGGTTTTTGTACCCCAAGGGAGCAGCCGCAATCCTTTTCCTGGCCACCCCAGGCGAACTCGCCTCATCTTCACTGCCGCCAGCCCCGTCGGGCCGCCTCCACACACCCTCATCCGCCCTGACGCGCCCCCTCTCTGCACACCCGCAGGGAAGGAGAAGAATGGCAGAGGCTCCGCAGCCTCCTGGCCCCGCTGCTCCTCCCGCCTCAAGCGGCCGCCCGCTATGCCGGGACCCTGGACGACGTGGTCCATGACCTTGTGCGGCGACTGCGGCACCAACGGGGACGTGGGGCTGGGCCGCCCGCCCTGGTTCGGGACGTGGCAGGAGAGTTTTACAAGTTTGGACTAGAAGGTGAGTCCCAAGACAGGGGCAAGCGTGGGAGGCCCCCGCCTGGTCTCCCGGTGCCCTGACAGCGCCCCCTCCCGCCCAGGCATAGCCGCGGTGCTCCTGGGTTCCCGCCTGGGCTGCCTGGAGGCCGAAATGCCCCCAGACACAGAGACCTTCATCCGCGCGGTGGGATCGGTGTTTGTGTCCACGCTGTTGACCATGGCGATGCCCGCTTGGCTTCACCGCCTGGTGCCCGGACCCTGGGGCCGCCTCTGCCGAGACTGGGACCAAATGTTTGCCTTTGGTAAGGCACGGAAATGAAGTCGGGATAGGGGAACATAAAGCTGTTCAGGGATGGTGAGGCACCCCTGTACCTTCTCCCCCACACAGCCCAGCAGCACGTGGAGAGGCGAGAGGCTGAGGTAGCCTTGAGGAGCAAGGGAAAGCCTGAGGAGGACATGGGATCTGGGGCACACCTGACCTACTTCCTGTTCCGGGAAGAGTTGCCTGCTCCGTCCATCCTGGGCAATGTGACGGAGCTGCTACTGGCTGGAGTGGACACAGTGAGGTTCTTCTCCATGTTGGGAGCCCCACTTCCAGAGCTTAGCCTCTCCAGTTTCAGGGGCCACTTTGCTGCTGCAGGGGATCCACTATGACCCTTTCGGCCAGCTTGACTTAACACCTCCTGAGCTCCAGACTGCCTCATATTCTGCCCCCCTCTACTGGGTGTCCACTCTCAACACCTCTGAGGCTCTCAACTGTCCTCTCAGGTATCCAACACACTCTCCTGGGCTCTGTATGAACTCTCTCGGCACCCCGAAGTCCAGAAGGCACTCCACTCTGAGATCACAGCTGCCCTGGGCCCTGGCTCCAATGCCCACCCCTCAGCTGCTGCTCTATCCCAGCTGCCCCTGCTGAAGGCAGTGGTCAAGGAAGTGCTAAGGTGAGGGGATGGGAGAGGAGAAGCTAAAGAAAATGTTGGGAAGGGCTGGGGAAGCAGATGGTAAATGGGAGCGGGGAGAGCCAGCAGAGGAAAATGGTACCTACTCCTGGCCAAGATTGGGTTTGGACGTAGGAGGCTTGCGGACAAGAGGGAGGCTACAGCCCCCAGCCTCACCTTGCTGTTTCCCTCTTGTTCTGCAATCCAGACTGTACCCTGTGGTACCTGGAAATTCCCGTGTGCCAGACAAAGACGTTCGTGTGGGTGACTATGTTATCCCCAAAAATGTGAGTAGAGCCTATGGGCCCCTTTTGTTAAGCCATCCCTCACCATCTTGGGCCCCATCCTGTTCTCAAACACTCCATATAAGCCCTTCACCTTCCCTTTGGCCTGAATGCCTCTCTCCGGGATGTAACGGGGCAGTGGAGAAATCATTCCAAAAGTAGCCCCAGAAAACTTACCCCCTCACCAACCAGAGCCCGCCTTTGCTCCAATCCATATATCCTCTTTTCCATGTCCCTCCCTGCATTCATGGGCCCAAACTGACAAGTTTATGTTCTTTCCCCATCAGACGCTGGTCACACTGTGTCATTATGCCACTTCAAGGGACCCTGCCCAGTTCCCAGAGCCAAATTCTTTTCGTCCAGCTCGATGGCTGGGGGAAGGCCCAGCCCCCCACCCATTTGCATCTCTTCCCTTTGGCTTCGGCAAGCGCAGCTGCATGGGGAGACGCCTGGCAGAGCTTGAGCTGCAGATGGCTTTGGCTCAGGTGAGTGATCTCGACATACCTTCCCCAGACATGAGAGACCCTAACCCTCTAAAGCCATGAGCTCTTCTGACAAGCATAGCAAAATATATGACTTGGTAAACCTAATCCTCTGAATACAGCAATCCTGTTTTAAGCTACAGAGTGAGCAAGGGTATTTGGACTATTGTTTTCCCCCTGCCATCATCCCTTAAGAAATTCCCTACTGACCACAGGTATCATTTCAGTATCGACCTAACATAATAATACCCTTTACCAATCAAACCCACCATCGTAGACCCCTCCCAAAGTGATAGCCTTCTTCCTGCCTTTCCAGATCTTGACCCACTTTGAGGTGAAGCCTGAGCCAGGTGCTGCCCCAATCCGACCCATGACCCGGACTGTCCTGGTACCCGAGAGGAGCATCAACCTACAGTTTGTGGACAGATAGTCCCATGGGAGGAGGCTGTCATCATCACCCTTTCTCTCATTGTAGGGATTTATTAGGCACAAGAGCAAGAGATACGTATTCCCCCTGAGACCTGCCTATTTGACCAGACGGGTTAGAAGGACGCTAGCAAACTGCTTGAAGCAGCCCTGACCAAGGTGTGAAATGTGCCTTGGCCCGACCCATCAGGCCCTGTGAAAACCATAGTCCCTCTGCCTACTCAGCTTTTCTCCTGGCCTTATCATATGCATCCTTCAAGGGCCAGCTTAGATCTTAATAATGTTGGGTGGCCTGAGGAAGGGTTCAACCACTGCCCTTTGGGGGCTTCCACAGTGTTCAGGAGCTGCTGGGTAAGCACTTAGCACCACGTGAGCTCAGTAATTATGCATCTGGTCTGCACCTGCTTGGTCTTCCCTTCTTGCATGTGAGCTCTTTGAGAGGAAGAATGAGACCTTATTCAGTCTTTATATCCCCTAATTGGGTGATGCCATACGGGTTCTCAGATTGAATCTGGACCATGTGGCAGAAGGGATAAGCAGCTTACCAGACTCTGTCTACTCTTCTTCTTCCTCATCTTGCCCCTGGCAAGGTGAGTCTGCCCTCACCTGGTTTATGATGTTTTAAAACTCTCCTTGACTCTCTGGTCACTATTAGAGGTTCGTTTGTCCCACCATTTAGTTCCTGGGCAGACATCTTTTGGCCTTATACCTGCTTAAGCCTTCCTTTTATATATTGGAATTTTTTAATATTCATAGTTTTGAAATAAAAGAATGAAATGTTCCATCCTTGGTTTTTGACTTACTTCTCTTCCACAAGTCCTGGAGGCAAGACCCTCACCAAATCCCCTACTTTGATTTATCTGATCCTGGGAGTGACCTCCATAACAATGGGAGGTCTAGACACCTGGGAGAGTGGTTTGCATCACAAACCCAACACTGTTCCGTCTGTACTGGGAAGAGCCAGTGAGAAGTAACACCAAGGGTTAGCCTTTAAAAATGGGTTGGGGAGCTAGGGATTTGCAGAGATGGCCGAGGCAACAGACTCTTTGGTGGAAGTGCTTTTGGAACCTGGACTGCCAGGACCAAAGGATATCTGCCCTCTCTGGAAAAGTTGCTCCGAGGTAATTTCCTTGAGAGAAAGACAGATACATGCACAGAAGTGAAGTCAGACAGACGGGATGAAAGCCGAGTGTGGGGGTGGCCGGAAGCCCTGGGGCACTGAGGCAGAAGTGGGGAGGGCAGAAGAAGCCTGTTTCCCTGAGTCAGCATTCTCTGGCCCCCCAGAGTCTGGGCACAGTTCTCCCCTTGTGATGTATACGGATTAACTCATCTTCCATACAAATCAATCTCTCAGCACACTTCCCGCAGCCCCTCCCTAGCCTAGATTGCCCTCCCCATGTCAGGACTTGCCCCCTGCCTCCTCCTCTTCCACAAGCCTGGCCCCCTACCCTAGGCAGGGCTCCCTGACCACAGAGGCTGTCTGCCTCTGGGCCTTCCGAGGGCATCTATCTTTGTAAGATGTACAGAGGGGCACAGTATGCCTGAGGCCTTGTGCAGAGACCAAGGTTTGTGTGCCCTTACTGCCCCACCTCTCAACTCCTCTACCGTATTCTGTGTCCACCCCCACTCCCCTATCACTAAGCTTAACCTGAACCAAACTGACCTGATTTTTAGCAGATCCGAACTTTGAAGGAGAATAAAGCCCAGCTTCCTCTCACATTCTTTCCCCTGGAATCAGTGATGAAAATTCTGTACACCCACATTCCTCACTGGGCAAGTACGACTGATCTACTTGAGGAGGGCAGCAGTTCTCATCACCCTTTTGTGACAAGAATCTTTTTAAGTTGGAAAAAGGGAAGGAGAAGGGACCATACTGATTGCTGGTCCTAACCCCTATATCAAGCAAGACCTCCCATGGTACTGAAAGGGAGGGAAACATACTGTCTCGCCTGGCCCAGTTTTAGGACCCAGAGTGGAATCAGAGAGGGTGTGTTTGTGTGTGTATGTCCTTTGGCATGTCTAAGCTTCCATGGAGGGCCATCATGAGGGACAATCTGGGCTTGGCACAAGAAACCCCACCTGTGGCATACCCACCGGTCATATTTGCCAGGATAGGTAATAGTAGTCACTCTGATTTGCTATCTCCCTTCTGGCCCCCACCAGCTATTTTGTGAATAGCAAATCAGGAAAGTCTGGCCCTTCTGTCTTCCCAGGTGGAGAATATAGAGGGTTGTCTCTCTAGGGAAACGATATCCCACTGGAAAAAAAAATGGAGCACTTGGCCTCTGTCCCCTCTTTTTGATCTCCTCAGAGGTTAGAAGTGATACACCTCAATACTTCCAGGGACTCAAACCTGAGTCTGGCTTCAATGTGAACATTCCCAGGCAAGTCTGAGTGCCAGCACCATGGACAGCAGCCAAGACTCCCCCTTTCAGAGAAGGACAAAGGAAGACCATTTCCAGGGCAAGTATGTGTGACCTTTAGTAGAGAAGCATTTCCCCCAAAACATCCCCAGGGAGGAGGCAGAGCAGAACCTTCCTGAGAAAAGGACCAATAATAGGAAAGGCGTCTGGATCTGACTTAACAATGTATGAAGTAATTATTTTAATTGCTGATGAATAGTTCACTTAAAAGACACCATCATTCATATAATACACAGCCCCAAGGCCTCAGGAGAAAGGGTGAAGGCCTCAGGTTGACCCACATTTTAACCAGTCCTTCCCAAACCCTTTCCTATAAACAACAGCCCTCTACACAGCTGCCTCCAGGCACAATACTTCCTAGTTAATACCACTAGCTGGGGCACAGGATCAGACCTGTGACCCTGAACTGCCATAGGAGTAGCTTAAGCCGGGGTTGGAGATTCATAACATGGGGACATTCTGTCTGTCTCACTCCAAATGAGTCCAAATTCATTTCACACCACTTCCCTGGGTGCGCACATTACCTGGGAAGGACTAATAGAACCCACAAGATCCCCAGAGCAAGAAGGATAGCTCCATCCTTCCCCAGCCCCGTGTTTAGGGGGTTGGAGGAGCTCTCACTTTTGCAAATAACCACCATCCTTCACATTTGCAATATCCATTTCCCCTCATATTTCCATTTCTATTATGATACTCAACACAAATTTCTAAGGCTCTGTGCAACTCCAGATGAAAAAACACATTCTGGAATTTGTTAACCAGCTACTATTTGAAATAAATGGACCATCAACTAGTCTAGAAATCTTTTTACGCCATCACTAATTTTCTTTGCAATGGCATTCAACCTGTCCCTCATTTATCCTCATTCCAACCCTATGAGGTAGACAGGAAAACCACGGCGGAGAGATTTTTTTTTTTCTTCTAAATCATACAACTTGCAGGTGGCAGGTCCACCCCTTAGATACCTCTGAGCACTGCCACCTAGCAGCCACTGTGAATTATTCGCCAGCAAGTGGGAGTCACACCTCCAGCTCAGAACCCACTGCTGCATTTGGGATTTGCAACCCCTGCAGAGAAACCTCCCCACACCTCCCAACCCTCCAGAAAAGCCCCAGATGAGAAAGGAGTCTCCACGTGCATATAAATGATTCTTTATGCCCTCCCCCCATGCAATGGGGGGTGGAGCAGGGGGAGGTCCCCCCGCCCTCATGCAGGGAACGGGAGGTCAATGTATACTAGTCTTATTGCCAGCTGCCCTGTGGCCATGGGGTGGGGAATGGGGGGTCTACAACCCCTTTCTTCTGGCATTGGTCCCCCTTCACCAAGTCACCATGGTGGAGCTGGGGGGCTGGAGGCCCTAGGAGCTGAGGTAAGGACGGTTCTCTAGGGAAGAAAAGGTGCTCTCCCCACCTGCCCACTGGCTGCCCCAGGATGAGTGTGAGGAGCTATCGGTGGGGACTGGAATGTCATCCAGGTGTCTCTACCCAGTGGGTAGTAGAGGCCAGACAATGTCTCCAGCTTGAGGTTGCCCACAGAGATCCTCAGTGGTGGGGGCAGGGTGCCCCAAACACCTTGTCCAGGTGGTACCTCCAGCAGCCATGAAAGGTTATCTCTGGCCGATGCATCGACTCAAGATCCCTGCTCCTGGAGTTCAGTTTCACACCGTGGTGACCCTCATGACAACCTCTCGGCCAGAATGGGAACTGGAACGGGCATCTGGTGGCCGCAGCTGTCCAAGGAGGTGCAGGATTGTGTAACCACAGCGCTGAGGCAAGAGCGTCCGCATGCGCTGGGCAGCCGGGGGGCGGCTGGTAGCCCCAGAGAGGGGGCCCGTCCGTGAGGTCCTGGGGCCCGGCTTCCCTGCCGTCCCTCCCCCTGCATCTCCTCCTATGTCCTTGGTCTTGTCATAATTCAGGACCTTCCACTGCTGGTTCACTGCCTGCCAGCGCTTGAAGATGCGGTAGACGGAGGAGCCTTCGTGGACGATGAGGCCTGAGCAAAAGGGAGAAGAAATCCAGGGTCACCTGCTGCCCAGACCTAGGCCAAAGGTACTTAAGCAAGTATTTCTCCAGAGTGAGGAGATGGAGTCTGTAAAAGGCCTGAGGAAGCAGGGAAGGGAGAGGCACCAAGATAGCCTTAGAGGCTCCCAATAGTAGAAGATGTGGCTGTGGAGCTGAGGGGACGGGCAAGGAAAGTTAAGTGTGTGAGCTGCAGGAAGACACTGAGCAGGTAAGGGGGAGAGAGGGGCCCTCACCTATGCAGACGACATCCATGAAGCCGTACATGCCGTAGCAGATCTGAAAGAGCAGATCCTGCCGTTGCCACTTGGCTGAAGGGCTGAGTGAGGACCAGACGAGCCAGGAGATGCTGGCGACGAGGAAGAGCGAGCCCAGGACTATGGCTGCGATCTGGACCTTCTCGATGACCGTCAGGGAGATGGCCTGCCACTGTGTGGGAGAAAGGGCTCCAAAAAGTTACAGAAAGAGAAGGAGGGTCAGGTGATGAGTGGCCCTGAAGAGGAAGATGCTCCAGAGCCTTCCTGAAACCCTTCAGGCAGGATTAGCAATCTGTCTCCTCTGTGCCCTGATCAAACATAGTATGGAGCCCTTTTCACATTGTTTGAGACCATTTGTCTTATTTTAGGAAGGCAGGATCAGGCAAGTGCTCTGACCAGACCATCTAGGTTTGAATTCCAAATCCTAACTCCATCACTTACTTGCTGAGTAACTTTGGGAAGGTTTTTATATCTCTTTGAGCATCAATATCCTCATCTTTAAAATGGAGATAATAATGGCACATAACTAATAGGATTATTATGAAGATTAAATGAGTTACTATAGGGCGCCTGGGTGGCTCAGTTGGTTAAGCGACTGCCTTCGGCTCAGGTCATGATCCTGGAGTCCCGGGATCGAGTCCCGCATCGGGCTCCCTGCTCAGCAGGGAGCCTGCTTCTGCCTCTGACCCTCCCCCCTCTCATGTGCCCTCTCTCTCTCATTCTCTCTGTCTCAAATAAATAAATAAAATCTTTAAAAAAAATAAAAAATAAAAAATAAATGAGTTACTATACACCAAGAGTGTAACACACAGAAAACACACCATGTTTGCTATCATCATCATCTTCTGCTGCTGCTTTTTTTTTTTTCTGTCTCAGTGCCTAGAACAGTGCCTGGAATACAGGTGGCACCCAATAAATGTGAATAAATGAAGGGAGGATTTACAGGCAGACAGGAGATTGTGATAACAGTGGGTAGGGGTAACTTTGAGGAAAGATGAAACAGATAAATAGGCTCCCTGGAGAGTCCCTGATTCTGACTGCTGAAAGGCCTTTGCCCCCGTCTGGAAGTTCTCTCCTTGCACCTCACCTGCAGCGGGTTCTTGGTGCTGATCGCCAGGACCTGGTATTTGAAGTAGCAGAGCTCACAGCTCCAGGAGCCCCTCTCACTAATCCAGCGGATGAGGCAGGGCTGGTGTGTGCAGCGCACTGAGCCGTCGCAGCGGCAGGGGCTCAGGAGCTCCCCCTGGAGGAAGAGTGAGGAGGGTCCCCGTCAGCTGTCACCACCCGACCCCACTCCTCTCCAACCCGAGAGGGAAACCCCTCCATATCAGTCATTCCCCAACGTTAAAAAAAAACAAAACAAAACACCTCAAGCCTTTCACCCAAAATAGGGCAAGAGGCTAAAGCCACAGCAAAAAAGAAAAAAGAGCTGAAGGTAAACTTCCCTGACCAAATAGACGAAGGATAAAAAGAAATGGGGTGGGGGTGGGGAAGAATGACTGGGTCTCCTCCTTTCCTAAAAATTGGGGAGGGTGCTCTTTAAGGCTTCCCAAATGGAAAGCTACCCCTTAGGATCTGGAGGGACGGGAGGGTCAGAGCTTCTGAGCCATGCCTTCCTCCTCCTTCCCATCGCTGTAAAGTATTTCACACGTGTGGTGCAAACTGGGATGGGTTATTGTCCTCAGTTCCAAGTATCAAAAAGCGGGGAGAGATCCTGGGTGTGGGAACGGAGGGTGTCCCCCTTTAATCAAGGAATAATTTCTCATGACATCCCCCACCCCCCAGCACTATCCCGGGACAACTTTGTCCATAACATTTAAACAAAGAGTACTCTTTGGAATGAGATGGAAAGTTACGGAATGGGAAGTGAAGAAAAGTGCCCCATGGAGAGAAATACTGAGTGAGGCAAGGGCGCCAGCAGGGCCCCTCCCTTCAAAGGGGGAACAGAAGCACTCTGCCCACCTCCGAGTGAATAGGCCCCTGAGCCTACAGAGACCCCGGGGTGAGAGAAGTGGGGCAGAAAGGCTGTCCCCGTTAGTGGACGAGAGGGATTTGGAGCCCTCCCAGGAGAAAGCCCCACCCTTTCCCTGGAAACTCCTGACCTCCTCCACCCCAAACGTGCGCTCCCGGACTCTCCAGCCAAGCCCCCCCAGCCGCACCCGGTACCCACTCTGGGTCCTGGGTCCTGGGTCCCGCCCTGCCTCCTCAGGCCCCGCCCCCTGTTCGTGGTGGGCAAGGGCGCCCCAGGTGCGCGCGCCCCCACCCCTCCCGCCCCGCCCGGTGCCCAGGCCTGACCTGCTCCGGACCCTGGAAGCAGATTCGGCACTGGGGGGTTCGGAGCCCGCTGTCCAGGCTGCTGCTGAGCGACAGGGCGTCCAGCGCGCCCGGAGGCGGCGGCGGCGGCGCGGGCGGCGGCGGGGGTCCGGCCCGCGGCTCCTTGTCGCCGGCCAGGCCCCGGGCCCGCGGCTCCGACCCGTAGTACTCCTCTTCGTCGCCGTCGCCGTCCCGGGTCGAGCAGCCGGCGAAGGGCGCCCAGCCGCAGCCGCCTCCCCCGCCCCCCCGGGGCTGCGGCTCGGCCCGGGGCCGCCCCCCGCCCGTCAGCACCAGCAGCTTCAGCTCGTTCAGAAACATGCGGAGCCGAGACTTGAGCATCGTCCGGGCGCCGGGGGGGCGGGAGGCGGCGTGCAAGGGGGGCTCTAGGGCGGCGGGGGGGAAGGGAGAGGACAAGGCCGGGAAGGGGGCGCGCGCTGGAGAGCCGAGCCCGGCCGGGGTCTTCGGGGCCTGAGAGCGCCGTTTACTGCTGCCACAGCCGGGGTTCCGGGGCTTGCGGGGCCGAGAGGGCTGGTGGCCCGGGGGCGGCGGGGCGGGCAGCCATGGCCGGGGCAGGGGGCGGGGAGGGGGACCTCAAGGTGCCGCGCCCCACGGGTCCGGGTCTGGAGCGGGCCGGGCCCCCGGGGTTACGCGCCCCAGTCCTCCTGCGGCGGGGCCGCCCCCCATCGCCGTCCTGCTGGCCCCAGTCCCGCTCAGGTTCCCGGCTCCGGCTCGGCTCGGCCCGTGCGCTCGGCGGTGGCAAATGGCGGCTCCTTCCGGCGGCGGCGGCGGCGGAGACCCCCCCGGAGCGGCGGGCGGGCGGGGCGGGCGGGGCGGGAGCCGGGGAGCCGGTGAGGGATGGAGGGAGGGGCGGGGCGGGGCGGGGAGCGGGAGAAGAGAAGTGGCCGCGGCTGCGCATCCCCGCCCTGCCCCGCACGAGCAGGTGTCCCCAGAGGCGGGGGCGAGTGTGCGAGCCCGGGGGAGGGTGGAGGGAGGGGAGTGGCCAAGGAAGGGGGGTGTACACACGGGTAGGAGAATAGGTGTGTTAATGGGGGTCTGGGGGAGGGGTGGTGAGCGAGTGAGGATGGAAGGTGAGTGGTCAAAGACACAGGTGCACCAGGGAGGGAGAAGCTTGTGCAAGATGGGAGTGTGCAAAGAAAGAGCTATGCAAGGGTCTGAGGTGTGAGGAAGGTGAGCAAGAGATGGACTCAAGCAATAAACACTTTTACACAAAAGACCGAAAAGTGTGCACGGTGTGGGACAGTGGAAAACAGATGAGTGTGTAAGGGATGCAATCGGATTGTATGAAAAACAGAGTGTGTAATTGTAATGCGTGAGGAAGGTGAGTGAGCAAGGGAGACAAGAGTGCTAAAGGGATGAGAGCGTCTTTCCTGGTACTCTCCTGCCCCACCACACTACAGTGAAGTGAATACCACACACACACCTACACATACGCAGCTCTTTGGTTTTGCTTTTACAGAGGCCTTGACCTAAGAACCAGCTCTTCCCCCTCATCACATATCTCTGCCTTACACTTATGTCCTCCCTCTCCAACGCTGAGGGAAAAGGGATTGCAGAGGAGCCCTCTGGGTCAAACACACTGGAAAAAAATTAATTAGTAAAAGAGTAATTAACAGGAGAAGGGAGGGTATGGAACCAGGGACAGACTGCCAAACGAAGTCTCCTCAAGAAAAGAGATTAAGGAGAGTAATGCTTTTATAAAGTATTCAAATGTTTTGGATGGATGGATGGATGAATCACAAAGGGGGCTGGAACCCAAGGCAACATAGAGGATGACTTTTATTCTAAAGACAGTAAGCTGTGGAAGGTGAAGCTGAAGTGGACCTTGTTGGTGTAGGAAAGAAATTTGACAAACTCACTTTGCCTGCCAGAAGGTTTATAAACCAACCAGTCCCAGCAAGAGAGCCAATAAAACATTCACCTCAGAAGCCCCTGAGCCAGTTTAGATCTTGAGGTTTTTCTTTCCAGTGTCCCAGCTGCCCTTGCCAGCAAGGGCCCAGAGCTACAACTATCAGAATGCAAGAGGGGGAATCTGTACCTACCTGTATTCCATTTTGCCCTGGAGTGTGGTTTATAGTCATCTCAAGCCTGAGCTCTTACATCCTCCACTAGATGGTTAAGGAGAATAGAAGTTAAGGTGGAAGGAGTGGCGGGCAGTGCCTGGGTAGCACAGTCGGTTAAGCATCTGCCTTCAGGTCAGGTCATGATCCCAGGGTCCTGGGATAGAGTCCTGTGACAGGCTCCCTGCTCTGCAGGGAGTCTGCTTCTCCCTCTGCCCCTCCCCCCTTGTTCTCTCTCTCTTTTTCTCTCTCAAATAAATAAAATCTTTTTTAAAAAAAGTGGAAGGAGTGGCAGATAGAGTTATAAAATGGTTTCAGATTTTAGACAATTTCTTGCAAATGAGATACTGATCCCTTCCCTCCTTAGTCCCATTCCCCTACAGGCTTAGGAGATTAAAAAAGAAGTTGGAGCCAGTAACCAGTAAGACAAGGAAAGTAAAAAAAAAAAAAAAAAAAAAGACAAGGAAAGTCAGAGAAACCTGTCTGTTGTCTACCTAAGTGTCTGTGAGCAGAGGCTATTTTGAAAAGTCTGTGTTCTGGCCAGGAGCAAGGGCTAAGAAAGCTTGCACTGGGGAAAAGAGGGAAGCAGAATGACCCCAAACAAGGAGTCACAGGATTTGTAGAAGAGCACAAATCATTCTCATGCAATGCCATGGTCCGAGGTGGTGGTGGAGGTAACTTCCCTGCACATGCTCACTCTTGTATCTATCCATCTATATATAACGTGTAAAATATACACACTTATATACACATATACAGACACACATATATATCATAGCATCTAAGTGTTGGAAAGAAGCTTAAAGGTTAAGTATTCCTGTCTCTTGCTCATTGATAACTTCTCTGCCAGAAAGCGTTATTTTAACACTACCAGGAAGGGGTGGAATTTAGAAGAGGGGAGGGCATTACCTTGACACTCTTCCTGTCGGATTACTGCATTAATCTACCCTCCATCAATCCTTTAATCCTAGTTTTGCCCTCAAATGGGTATGGTCTACTATTTTATACGACCACACTGTTGGCTACATCTTTACAGACAGCCTCATCAAAACTTTAAAGGGCTAGTGACGGAGACACCCAAAAAACTCCTCATACACACAGGAAGCAAGCACTCAGTAAAAATTTGTTGAATGAGTGAATGAATGAAACAAAGACACAAATGAGAATATGTTTTCCCATGGCAGGGAAGCGGAAAGGCTACAGCACCACCTCTCGACCCCCGTCCCATCCTCCCGATCCCTGACCACCATATGGAGAGCGAGAGACGTGCAGTGTGTAGTGAGACTGGAGAAGCGTTCAGGCTCGGCCTGCAGCCCTGAGTTGGGATCTGGGTGGCCCAGGTTGCCATGGCACCGCATTGGACTCCACCCTCTCTCGTCTCCCCCGCCCCCTCAACGCCGCCAGGGTCTGGCAGTCAGTCACGTGCCCCGCCGCGTAACCACACCTCTGCTCCTCAGAGCGCAGTCGAGCGGTCACGTGTGATAGCAACAGATCACGTGGCTGCCATCTTTCCCCCCCCCGCCCCTTTCCCCTACCCACCCCCTTCCCAGTCAAAGCCTCTCCTGGGTACCCCTCTGCGCATGAGTGGCTCGTCACGTGCTCCGAACGTCCGGCTTTCGCCCCGCCCCGCCAGTTTCCGCGCGCCTCTTTGGCAGCTGGTCACATGGTGAGGGTGGGGGTAAGGGGGCCGCTCTAGCTTGCGGCCTGTGTCTATAGTCGGGCCCGTAACGTCCAGCTTCCCGGGACAGAGCTCGAGTGTATGGCGCCGCAGGATCTGGCTCCGGGGCCCCGATAACGGGCCGCCCCCGCAGCTCCCGGCACGGAGTGAGGTAAGCATAGCCCCTTCCCAGGAATGGGGACCGTTTTCGCTCTCCACGGCTGCCTACGCGGACAAGTTATGGAAGGGTTGCTCGAGGGCGGGAAGTGGGGCAGGGTGTAATTTGTTCCTTTGTGGCCATAGGGAGGTGTAATTTTAGGGCCTGGATGTCGGGTCTTCGATGCAAGGGGTGTGTCGTGTGAGATAGAACTTTGTGCGGGGCGCGATGGTCGGGCCCAAAGGAAAAGGAATTTTTTATTTTAGGGCTTCACGTGGCTGGAGGGGTTGGGGTTAGAGTCATTGTGTTACCTGAGGGGCCAGCCTCAAGGAAGATTGGGGAAGGGACGGGATGGTGGTGGTGGTGTCTTTGTGATGTCTTCTGTGGGAGTCACTTTATTGCTGCAGGCTCATACCATCTGAACTCTGGAAGGGATTTTCGGTGGCAGGAGTCTTTGTGATTGTAGGGTCACCTCTGATCTGAGAATGGCTACTCCTCGATATGAGCCAGTGGCTGAGATTGGTGTTGGTGCCTATGGAACAGTATACAAGGCCCGTGATCCCCACAGTGGCCACTTCGTGGCCCTCAAGAGTGTGAGAGTCCCTAATGGAGGAGGTGCTGGAGGGGGCCTTCCCATCAGCACAGTTCGTGAGGTGGCCTTACTGAGGCGGCTGGAGGCTTTTGAGCATCCCAACGTTGTCCGGTGAGACGGTGGAGGGTTAGGAGTGGGCAGTAAAGGGGAAAAGACAACTTACAGGTGGGGAGTGGTGGTCAGGAGAGAAGTGGGGATCCTGAGGAAATAGGGGAGGCCATGTTGGGAACAAAGGGATTGATCAGTGAGTGACCATTTGCTCTGGCCAGGCTGATGGACGTCTGTGCCACCGCCCGAACTGACCGGGAGACCAAAGTGACCCTGGTGTTTGAGCACGTGGACCAAGACCTGAGGACCTATCTGGACAAGGCACCCCCACCAGGTTTGCCAGTGGAGACCATCAAGGTGAGTAGGGTGGGTAGACACTTGAGAAGGTACATTGAGACCTTTGTAGTAGAACCTGTTGTGATTTCAGGTATGGTACCTAGTTTCCAGTTCCTCTGTTCCTCCCCCTTCCAAACCAGGATCTGATGCGCCAGTTTCTAAGAGGCCTAGATTTCCTTCATGCCAACTGCATCGTTCACCGAGACCTGAAGCCAGAGAACATTCTGGTGACTAGTGGTGGGACAGTCAAGCTGGCTGACTTTGGCCTGGCCAGAATCTACAGCTACCAGATGGCACTTACACCTGTGGTCAGTAGAAAGATGAGGGTAGGAGAGTGGTTGACCATAGCAGTTGAGAAGTCATGGGCTTCGTGACTTTAGTCAAGCAGTCGTAGTTCATGATAACCCGTAGGGTTCTCATCTACTTTTCTTATTCCGGTCAGGTTGTTACACTCTGGTACCGTGCTCCAGAAGTTCTTCTGCAGTCTACATACGCAACACCCGTGGACATGTGGAGCGTTGGCTGTATCTTCGCAGAGATGTTTCGTCGCAAGTATGGGACCCAAATCTCCTGAACTCTTGAGTTTCTCAAATCTCTTAGTCATAAGCCACATCCATTCCCTGCGTATTCTTTCACTTAAATATTACTGACCATTTTGTTCCTAACCAGAAACTCTGAAATGTCCTGAAATTAGGAACTTCACATCCCTATATTCTCCGCACCCTCTGTTTGGAGCCAGTAACAATAATTATTCCACTACCATATCTTTGAGAATGACTGCTACCTGTGTTTTTCTCACTTTAGGCCTCTCTTCTGTGGAAACTCTGAAGCTGACCAGTTAGGCAAAATCTTTGAGTAAGTGACCAGCATGGGGAAAAGAACTTTCCATTCTGAATCTTCTTTCTGCTGAGCCCCGGATGGCAATTGGCTCTGCCTCTGGAGGTGGAGACTGGAGAAGGACCCTCTTGACCAGAGCTCTCCTGTTCCCCATAGCCTGATCGGGCTGCCCCCAGAGGATGACTGGCCCCGAGATGTGTCTCTCCCCCGAGGAGCCTTTTCCCCCCGAGGGCCCCGTCCAGTGCAGTCAGTGGTACCTGAGATGGAGGAATCTGGAGCACAGCTGCTGCTGGTACTGGGCTTGGGCATGGGCACAGGGTGAGGTTGGGGTGGGAATAAAAGCAGTATAAAAAGGACCCAAATCGTCACGGTTACTAAGAGTTGGATGGTGGATGGACTAGTTTTTACTGTTGCTGTGAATAGGCCATCCACAAAGAGGGATGTAGAAAAAGAGCCCATCCTGGGTATTGTTGGGGGTGAGCAAGTCTTTTTCTTTTTTTTTTGTCTTCATGGTCTTTTGATCTTTGCCTCCCCATCTTAGGAGATGCTGACTTTTAACCCACACAAGCGAATCTCTGCCTTCCGAGCCCTGCAGCACTCTTATCTACAAAAGGCAGAAGGTAACCCAGAGTGAGCAGTGGAGTGGCCGCAGCAATACTGAGAGAAGAGAAGCTGTCATTTCCCTTCCTTTGAACACTTGAGTGGAGAGCCCCCCAGTTGAGTAAGGCCATCTCAGCCTTCATCTCTGAGGCTATGGAAACTCTTCCTCCCACTTTTTATGAGAATATTTTGCTGCCTTAATGACATCCCCCCACCCCCTTTTGAGGCTTATCCTTCTCCTGCCCCCTTATTTTCGTACACCAAGGGGTATGTCCCTTGTTCTCCCCTTTCCTATCTTGATATTGGGATCTTTTTTATACAGGAAAAACAAAAGAAAACAAAGAAATACGGTCTTTTTTTTTTTTTTTTTTTTTTTTTTTAAATGTTTCTTCCTTTCATGGGCTTTGCCATTTGGGGATTGGGAAAAGCCATTTGGAAGATGGCACTTTCCTATAGAATCTTAAAAGATTCTCCCTAGGTCACAGGGTCTATGTAGGCAAGCGGAGCCCCTCAACTGGCAAAAGAAAAGGCACTTACATTGTTTCTTTGAATGTGGAGTTTAAGTGGCTTTTATTTTTATATTCACTGAACTTCCCCACACCGGGTCCTGCTTAGTGTAAGAAAGAGTTCTTGGTGGTTTTTTCCCTGGTTCCATCCCTGATTCACCCTTGGAGCCAGGCCAGGATGTGTTGAGGTGGTCTGGCATGTGGAAGGGAAAAGCGGGGAAACAGAGCCAGGAATGACTCCAACCCCCATCCCATCTCGTGCACTCCCAGGAGCTTCCCATATCCACTTAGGGAGAGAGGGAGGAAGTTGTTCTTTATTCCTTATGATCTTGCTCCCACTAAACATGTCAAGGCATACAGCCTGGCTGTTCAGTCATCTTTGGGGGATGTGGCAAAGGGCCTTTCCTTTTTCTCAAACAAAAAGGGCTACAGACCCTAGGTTTTCCCTAAGGGAGGAAAAAAAGCTTAGGGAGGATAGAGAGCAGGAGAGAAGTCAGAAGGATCTAGAGTCTTATAGAAAGGCACTGGGGTTAGCTCGAGGATCCTTCTGATTCCGAAATCTCATTGCTAGCCAAACACCAAGAATCTGTAAAAAGCAAAGGGAAAGAGATTATCAGCAATTCTGAATCTCTGGAGCTAAGACAGAAAGGGTGTATGTATGAGAGAACTGAAGAATGTTACCTCTGTAAAGCTAAAGAAGAGTCCAACACCCCCCAGGATTTTCAGGGCTTTGTCTGAATGCTTAAGAAACTTTTCTCCACACATCTGGCACGTGGAGCTCCGGCTCTTACAGATCTGAGAATAAAACACGTATGTGTGTGTTTAGAGGATGCAGAGTTGCTAGGCTGCCCTATCCTGACACCTGTGGTGAAGGGCCCCAGAAATTATTTACTAGTTTCTAATCCGTATCCTACAGAATGAAATCTCATTTGACTAATTCTCTAACCTTTGTATCCATACCTCCCGCCCTCTCAGCACATGGCCCCAGTGCAAGAGAGCTGCTAAAGAGAGACAGTCATTCAAACTCTTAAATCTGCCAGTCTGGGCAGTGTCCTTAACCAGCTTTCCTACCCTCCGGCCCCCGGCCCCACCTCTGCACCAACTCACTGCAGTGCAGAAAGCGTAATCCTGTTGATACAGGGTTGTGAGGTTGAACAAGCCACAACAATCAAAACTTCTTTCCAGTTCATCCCGGGTCTTGTTGCTCATGACCCACCAAGAAGCATTAATGACATCTGTCTGGAGAATATAGGCAAGAGGAAAATTATTGGATGCTGCTAACCTTAAGAATGCTCTTATATCATGATCTTAGTTCAAGTGCCTCAATTTCCCTATTCCAGCAAAGTCAGTCAACATCCCTCAGAAACAAAGGTGGATTATACAGAAAATGATAAAAATCCACCTCTGGGTTCTTCTGGAAAATACTCATGGAAAATTACCCAGACTTCCCAGAGGAAGCAAATAGCTGAAGAGTCTGGTAGTGGGGTTACTAAGAGGTCCAGACTGAGGGGAGGGAGTTAGAGGGTAGAGGGGAAAAAAGCAAATAGCTGAGAGGACATGCACTTACCTGTTTGCTCCGGTTAATAGCCAGACATGAGCAAGAGATTCCAAACTGGAAGATGAAGACCAACCCAAGGATGATCATGTACTGAGAGGAAGAGTTATGGGGAAAAAAAAAAGTCCTAGATTCCTTTATGTTGCACCTATAATAACCATCTGTTGTCATCTGTTCATAGAACTTACATAGCTGTGTTGAAAACAAAGTCATCAGCTCGTTTCATGAAGTATGGTATAGGGCAGGGCCAGGAGACCTGTCCCCAAGATCCCTCAAGTCTACCCCTCTCAAACATTCTTAGCCAATTCAGCCCTCCCAAGAACCCCACTTAAGGTCAGGATACGAAGAATAGCAGTACTTGGTGGTGGTTGACAGCACCCACCAGTCCAGCCACCGCGATGAGAAGAAGGAAGACTCCCACAGCAATGACTCCTCCGATGATGTGGATGCTGGACACCAGACCCAGACCCTTACCCCAAGCAGCCACTCCAATGAGCAACAAGCCTACCAGCTACAGGAAATAGAGCAGGTTATATCTCAAAAGAACTCTAGCACAGCCAAAAACCCTACAGGGAGTCTTGGGACAAAAAAGGAGATCTGAGTTTGTGTGAACTAAGGACAGCAGGTGTATGCACCCACCAGAGGTCAGGATGGCTGGGATGGGAGTGGGAGCAGCAGGGATAGTAGTCTATGAATATAAAAAAGGAAACTTTAGCTTCATCCATTACTTCTATTTTGGGAGAAACAAATTCCCAGGAGGGCGGAATGGGCCTTTATGCCCACAGCCCTCGGTTCATCCGCCCCCACCCCCAGACAAACCCTCTGGTCACCGGAAGTCTCCCCTCTTCCCACGGAAGTCCCCTGGAATTCCCTCTTCGCCGGAAGTTCTCGGGAATCTTCCCGGAACCCCCAGTACACCCCTCTTCCCACCGGAAGTCCCCTAGAGATTCTCCCCACTCCTCTCTCCGCCCTGAAGCTTCCCGAACCACCTCCAAAACCTCACCATGTAGACCACGTTGAGAGCGCACAGCGCATTCTTGGAGCAGGCAAAGCCACCGCAAACCATCTCCCCAGCTTTGGGGACCCAAGTGGTCCCAAGGACTTGGGGGGAGGTTCTTGGGGACCGTCTTCTTGGACCCCGACAGCTTCTGTCTCTTTAAATCGAGTCCAGCCAAACCCAGTCCTCTGCGCCTGCACCGTCCCACCCCTGCCTCTGGATTGGCGAAACTCGGGGCTAATCCAGGACGTCGGTGGCCTGAATGCCAATCAGTCTGCATTGCGTCACTGACCCGCCTGCCGGCCCCTCCTTTAGGTTCTTTATTGGCTGAAACTTAAACTGGGGGTAGGGCTTCCATAGATTCTCATAAGGAGCAAAGCCTAAACTTCCCCGGATTGAAAGCGGAGCTTTCTGTGGCCGCCGCTGGAAGAGAGCTAATCCGAGGGAGGAGGCTCAGGAGAAACCCAGGGGAAGAGGGAGAGGTGCGGCTTCGAGGGCAGGGTGAAAGGGCTCCTCCCCTCGAGGGAGCGCTCTTCCCCGCCCCTTTCCCCTTGTCCCGCAGTGATCTCATGATGACGCCGTTGTTTGTTGTTATTGCATCACACTCGGGAACACCCAGAGGAGCACAACATCGAGCTATTTCGCCCGGGTTGGGCACAGTAACATCCAACAAGCCGTCACACATTTGCAGGTGTGTCCGCTAGTACACATTTCTTCTTCCATATCCCCTCCTAACTGGGTGTGAATATGCTAGAAATTCAGTGTGAAGAACAGCTTCTTCGAGCCAGGGCATTCCTGTGCATGACAAAGCCACAAGCGCAGACATGCGTGTGCTCGGTATCTTCAGAGCACGTGCCTGATCCAGGGCTTACAAAAAAAAAGTCCAAGGGAGAGGTCTGGAATGTGAAGGAATATGAAAAAATATTAGGGGAAGGAGGAGTCTCCACATTTTCACGGGGGTGGGCATAGAGGTTGATCAATATGCTTAGTATTGAATACATGTTTTTCATGGATATGGGAAAAGGCATAATTCCTCTTTCCCCCAAGAGAAACAGTGGTAATGGGAACACAAACAAAAAACCTCCCTTCAACCCCACAGGATGACTTCAGTTTGTATGTACTTAGATTCTATGACTGCCGAAGCAGTAGTCTAACTGCCAGACTGCATGGGTTCCAACTTTGCCACTTACTGGCTGTGTAACCTTTGGCTCTCTGTGGCTGTTTCCTCATCTGTAAATAGAGATAAATAACAATACACCTGCCTCTTGGGTTGTTGTGAGAATCGAATGAGTTAATATATGCAGAATGCTTAGGACAGTACCCGGCACACAGTCAACGCTCAGTGTTAGTTATTTTCGTCAGGCTATAAGTTCCAGTGGGTAATCCCAGCCCCCAATTCCCTTATCTCCAACTATACAAATAGTCACATAGTTATAATCCCCTATCCTTCATAAATTAGTATCAAGAACATATGCAGGAGAAAAGACATTTGGCAGGGCCAGAAGGGTTTGAGTCCTGAAACAAAGTAATTAGATCAAATTAGCCACCACCACCCCCCCACCCCACCCCACCCCCACCCCCGCATACCCCCTGCATCTTCATTCTGTCCTTTAATTCCTCGTCTACCCTCTTCTCTTTCAGGTCCGAAATCAAGGGCAAGACAATGGTATTAGAGATAAGGGGAACTGGTTGGCAGGCATCTTGTTTGGGTGGTATAGTGAAAAAGAGTATCAGAGTTGAAATCAGAAGACCTAGGCTCACAGGGGTGCCTGGCTGGCTCAGTCAGGGGAGCGTGCAACACTTGATCTCAGGGTGGTGAGTTGCAGCCCCACGATGGGTGTAGAGATTACTTAAAAATAAAATCTAAAAAAAAAAAAGACCTAGACCCATAGATTTCCATAGATTTTTTTTTTTTCACCTCTTACTGGCCTCTCTGAACTTTGGCTTCCTTTCTTGCACCCCTTGGGCCTGTCATAAAGACCATACATTTGAAAGTGTGTCGTAAACTGTTGTTACAGACAATTATTATGAAAGTAATTGAGAGAGCATGGTGGTTTTGTCTGGTTATAGTTGCTGTTCTCCTCCATAACCTGTTCTCCCCATAACTACCTGAACTTTATAAGCAGGAGGTGGTTACAGTGGGGCAGCTGACTGAAGAAGGGTTCTGGAGCAAGATGTAGGTATACGAGCTCTTTGGATGTGGTGGGTACAGAGTGGGTGGTGAGTACTATTGCGAGCTGGAATGCAGGGCTGTTAGGGTGAGAGACCAAGTGTGTATACATTCCTGTCAGAGTTTGAGACTGAGCATGAATCTGTAGGTCACCAAGAGTTTGGGATTGCACCTGGGGCCTGGCTTGGCACATTTTCCTAGCACCAACACCCATCTTAATTAGCCACCTCCCACAGGAGGCCCTAGGACGTTCGTTGAGGTCTCTCCATCCACCTGGCTGAGGACGTACAGCAGGGGCTGGCTGGCAGAGCTCATGGGCCAACGCTAGAGGGGGTGGGAGGTTCAGCAGGTAGTGCTGTCCCAGGCTGTGGGTTTGAAACTCACCAGTCAGGAAGTGAGGCCGACAGACGGAAGGGCGGGCAGGAGCGCAGAGTTCTGGGGCACAGCAGAAGGGACCTTCTGTTTTTTGAGGACTGCGGGGCCATGGGCTTCAAGGCCAGAGGTTGCTGTTAGCCTGGCAAGACAGGTCTGGGCAACATGCATGCCCAGAGGCAGTTGGCTGTCGCTGCAGTGAGAGCAGAAGTCAGGCGACACGAGGTGGCCAAGCAGTCTCTAAGCCGCCTAAGGAAGCTGGCAGAGAGGGTGGGCGATCCTGAACTTCGGAACAGCATCCAGGCCTCACTGGACAGTGTGCGAGGTAAGAGAAGGGTTAGCTCCCAACTTGGGTGTATCGGGGACCAGCGGAGGCATAGAAGGGCTTGCTGTGCCATACATCACTTCCCAATCAGCCACTTCCTAGTCCTCTAGATGGAGCTGGGACTCGGGGGAAGAATATTTGGACAGGATGGAAAAAGGATATGGGAGGTGTCGTTCTTCCTCTTTCCCCAACTCTGATCCTTCTCCCAGGGGATCAAAATACAAGTCACTGCTGAGCTGACCTTCTTGGCAATGGAGAAGTGGGTGAGCATGGGGAAGGGAGGCCGTGACAGACCCAGGGTAGCCTTGGACCCTGCCTGGGGAGTCCAGGGCAGGAAGCAGTGTGGGGCAGGAGGTTCTGGGACTGGATAATGTGCTCATTCCCAGGACCCACAAAGGATCAGTGACCTCTTGTTCTCCAGCTGTAGAGAGAAACACACACACGTTGAAATACACCACGCAGAGAATCTCAGCCTCCCAGGCACACACTACTACTCATACTGTAACCAAAGTGTAACAAAGTCCCCAGGACTCTTTTCGGTCCCCTCTCTTCCCCATGCCCCTGTTCCTGTCCTTCCCCCCACCCCCAACACACACCTTCCGCTCTACCTCCTTAGTGCCATTAGAGCAAGTGATGACAACACAGGGAGGAAGTGCTGCCATGGCAACACCATCCGCCACATCCTCCTGCCCACCCCAGCCTTCAGTCTGGTTGGGGGGGGGGCTGGCAGGAACAGCTTCTCTCTATCCACAGGGCCCCACCGCTAAGGAGCTGGTGGAACTGAAAGTCGTCTCCAGCCTAGCCTCCTCTCATTTACCTCTGAGGTGGCAAAGAGCTGACAAAAGCCAGCCATGTTGTTCCTGAAAGGTGTCTGGGAGAAGTACATCCTTCATCATAGCCTGGTCTCCCAGCCGCTCCAGCCTCAGCTGCCTACCTGGGGTGGGGGGGGGGGGCTCAAGAGACCATTCTTTCCATCAGGGACACCTGCTGCCAGACCTCTCCGGTGGTAGAGGCCACCAGACCGTAACTTGGGGAGGGAACATTTGGTTCGGGTTCCTAAGGGGACAGTCTGGTCCCCTTCCCATTGCCTTTCTGAGGCTAGTGCCCCTCTCACCTCCTGTCCCCACCCTTTGCCAAGAACGATGGCTGACACCTTTCCTACAGCCTCAGTGGGTGGAAAGGCAGACCCAGGGGGAGTGGCCCCATGGGGCCTCCTAGGAAGGAACTCCAAGCCCCACCCCTGTAGAAAAAAAAAAAAAGAGGGGGAGGAAAAGGGTTTAGTCAGGGTGGAGGAGCTCCCCTTAGCTCTGGAGGAGGGAGTGAGGAGGGGTGGAAGCTGAAATCGCCCAGAAGACTCCACTCTTCACAAGTGACTTGTCCCACTCCTTCCCTGAGAGTCAGGATTCTCTTCCCACTGAGGATAAAGGAAGACTGAGGCCACCAAAGGAAGGAAGGAAAATCAAGGCAGAAATAGCAAATCTCCTTTACCCTCTCTTTCAGAACATTCAGAAAAGGCTACTGAAGGGTCCCCTGTCCTGGGAATGGTGTCCTCCTGGGGTGGGGTGGAGAGGGGGCTGCTGACCTCAGGACAGAACTCAAGAGGGATTGGGTACAGGTCTCAGGGAAAACAAAGGGCATCCAGCATCCTGGTACCACCCCCCCCCTTCACCCCCTACCAGGCCAAGCACGCTGCCTGCTCCTGGCTGGCTCCTGCCTCCAAGAGCCGCCCACGACAGCACTTATTATAGTCTCAGCTGCGTCAGGAGGGTGGGACACCAAATTAGGGGAATGCTGAGACTCCCTGAGTCCAGGGAGGGGTCTCCAAGCCTGCATGAAGGCCTGCTGTCACTCTGGCCTATCCCTGACAGGTCTCAGCCTCCATTCCCCAATGGCCTACCCCCTTCAACCTTCTCCCCAGGGTAGAGGACAGTGAGTCTTGAACTCCAGGGTCCCTAGAAGGGTGGTGGACATAGAGCAGACAGACGTTTTCCATTCTCTCTATCTCCTCTTTAACCTTCTAAAAGGCCTCCACCCTGAAAACCTCAGGAGACTGAATGGGAACCGAAAAGAGGCCGGCTCCCGCCTCAACCGAAGGGGTCCTTATATTCAGAGATACTAAATACCCCACATGTGGGTAACCGGATTCGAGGATGGTGTCTTCCTTAACCCCCAGTCCCCTGGCAGGTCCCCCACCCACCATACACACCGATTCTTCTCTGCTTATCCCTGCTGATTCTGAGGCACTCTTGGAGCTACGGTTGCTATGGAGACTGGAGGCATTTTGGTATGGGGGGTGTCAATCTGTAGACATATTCCTTCTCCTTCCACCTCAAGCTGGAGCCTTTGACTCACTTTTTGGCCTGGGCTCCTGGAGCCCTCGGATCTCTCCCCTCCTAAGGCACCCCCCTCCTTCCTACCCTGCTAAGTTCCATGTTTGTCCCCATCCCCAGGGAACACTTTCCAAGTTCACTTTGGGACAGTTGGGCTTAAGTCGTGGCCCCATCAATTTATTGCGTGTGGGGGTGGGGTGGGGTGGGCCAGGCGGCTGGGTGATGGGAAAAAGAATGCGTGCAATTACCTGGGGGAGACAAGGGGTCTTGGGAAAGGGATTTCAGGACTTCCCATTTCCCCACTTCAACTTCTCCAGAATTGGCAGTGACCCCTAAATTCGCTCCGTTTTCCCTGCGGACTGTCCACCCGTGTACTGATTTTTACCCCTGTCCCTAAATGCCACACCCAACAGTCGCGCTCCCTAACCGTGGTGTGCTAGGGGAGGGGGCTAGATTG